CCTAAGCATGGGAACGCTGATTTAAGATCAATAAAGCCGAAACAAGTAAAATTTACTGAAATAGAAAATATAAATTTGCTTGTTTCTAAACAGTGAACTCTGGGGAGTGTGCAGGCAGCCTGCTGAATTAGTGTAAAAATGCTATTATCAACCAAATATTGAAATAAAAAAGCCAGCGTGCATACTGAGCTCCTTCAGTCCTAGTAAAGTGGAAATATGATGTCAAACTGTTTCTTAGGCCGCTCTACTTTCCATTCAAGCCAGGAAAAGCAAAGAGCAATCTTTAAGATAGAAGTTTGATAGATTTATTATCTCTTGCAGGCTCTGCTTGCTTACAGCAAGGAGGTACTAAAATGGACAAGAAAAAGAAGGGCAAATTAAGTGAAGCAGCGCGGTTAATCAGTAAATGCCTGTGTCGAGTATTCTCTGATCACTTCTGCTAACACTGGCAAGAATATCTCAGGCTCATCTCACCTACTCCTGTGACCTGCAACCACCTGGGTCACAGCATGAAGGAAGTCAAGGGTAACTTTTTGCACAAATCTTTTTTTTTTTTTTTCTAACATGAACTTTTTTGACTGCAGAATGAATCTCCTCATCTATAAACCGGATGAGGAATACCTGCCTGCCTTCCTACAATGTCTCAGAAGCTCCTGGACATCCTCAGATGAAAGCAACTAGATAAGGGTAAAGCAAAACCACATGTGCAAAGCTGTGGCTCCGTCCCCTCTGCATCCCCACATCCCGCCAGCAGTGCCCGAGGCTTGCTTGTGTTCACAGTGCGCTTGCCTTTGGGATCCCAGGGTGTTTATTTTGCTTTTATTTCATTTTTTTTGTTTGTTTTAAGTGTGGGTAATGCTTACACATCGCTCTGGTGAGTGTAGACCCGGTCGAACAATGCTTCTGGAGCCATCCATTTCACAGGCAGCCGACCCTGTAATTAGGAGGACAAAGGCAACGTCCCATCAGCATATTCGCTCAGCCACAACGGCACCATCTGAATCTTCTGTTCTAATCCAGTTTGAAACATTTTCATTAACAATCACATCTGCCTTCCCGGTCACTGGGCAAAGCAAGAGTGGCCACTTGTAAACAGATTAGAGCATTTGATCCCTGGATCTCCCCTGGCTATTTTAGCAGTAAACACACTCTCTGTAGTGGACTCTAAGTCACTGCCAAGGCAGGTTTATGGTATCAGAGCATCTAAATCTTCGCATGGGAACAGCATCCACTGCTCATAAATGCAGCTACTCAGAAGCAGTGCATGCGACAACATTTTCCATCTCTGTGCTTTGAAGCAACAGTCTGGCTTGCAGTCCAAGTGCTGCTTCTGCTGAACAAGAGGGGAAACTTCCCAGAGTAAATTCAAGGGCCAGATCCTCTATGAACCTAATCTTGATCCCCCAGAGTCCAAAGCCCAGAGACCTGATGCCAGGTCTCTTAAATCAGGATGCTCTGGTTGACCCTGGAGGGGTCAGAGCAGATTGTTTCTTGCCTGAGCAAGGTTTCTTGCCTATAATTTGGCTTAGGGAAGACGTTATCGTCTTCTCAACCACTATCTTACTGGGGGACACAGCTGAAAATGGGACTTATGTGGGCTCCACAAAGGGTGTTACAGTGTGAGTTTTCCACGAGGTGTAAATCCATTGGAGCCAAAATTATGATTCCAAAGATAACGACTGGCAATTAAGGGAGGTTTCTCTCGGGTGATGTTGGAAAGCATCAGTAGGATTCTGGGCTGGGTTTGCCTGGTTGTTGCTGTGGCAAGGGCAAGGTGGGCTTCCTAGGACCAGCTGTGTATTGAAACTCCTTGCAGTTGCAAGGCTCTTGGGTTCTGCAATACCCTGAACCTCTCCCGTCAGTGCCTTCATGCTACATTACAGTTACAGCTTTGTTCTGTTGCTGCTTCGCCCTTTGAAATAAAAAAAGTTTCTCTTAGTCAAGAGCATCTTTGGCAAAAACGACTCCTTTCAAACAACTGCTAGCACCAGCAGTATCTGTCAGTGAGAAAATGGATGGTGGGCAAGCTCCTGGGGACAGCCTGTCTACAGGTCAGGGCACCCGCAGATTTCTTCCTCCCAAGGCCCACTAAAACAGGAAATGTGGAATTAGGGCCATTTGCTGTAGTGATGGTCTATTTCCCTGCCAGAAGGAAAACTACACATGCTTGGTAGCTCAGTACTTACATTGGTGGTTTTCTTGTAATAGTCGATGTTGTGAACATCTCTAGCGAGGCCAAAATCAGCTATTTTCATCACATTGTCTTCAGTGACTAGCACGTTCCTGGCTGCCAAGTCGCGATGAATGCACTGTGAAAGGTGAGCAAGTAAATAAATTTGGGCTTGTTAGCTGCTTATGCCCGGAAACACCAGTAACGAGGGGTTTATGAGCTGCTGTTTCATTGACTCCCGAGCTCATAAAGCTGTGGGCACTGCTTAATTCCTCACTTTCCGTGTCACTGCCGCATCATGCATGCTCAACGGGAACCACCTCTTAGCAACACCTAATCAGTGGTGCCATGGCCACACAGCTCCTCTCGCCAAAGGAGCTGCGCGGATGGGAATCAAACCCTCCTCTTCTGCAGGGCATCTACTGTGACATGAAGCTGCCTCGCTATCCCACTTCCTCCAAGAAGGAGAGTGCAGGTTGATGTTTGGAAAAAAAATACTCAAATTAAGGCATCCTCAGTATATCTTCACTGAGCTTGTTATCTGAGAAAAGAGCTAAATTAATTGCTCTGTGCTGGTAGGGATTTTAAAGCCATCATGAACCAACAGCTCTGACCTGAAGTTACAGGCCAATACAGCTTAAACCTGAAGCCTAACTTGCTTTTGCCTTATATTTCCCTGCCCCAAGAAGATGTCACAGCAGCTGGCACATGGCCCAGTAAGCCCACAGGCCAGATTCTCCGCTTGCTGACGTCAGGGTAGATGAGACGCAACCCCGGAGGCAGGACATGCGCCAACGCAGCAGCCAGCTCAGTGCCAACAACGTACTCCCCGGTGAGCACCCCGGGCCTGGCCACGCAGCGAGCCAAATCCACCAGCAGCTCCGCTCCAACCCAGCCTACACACGCTTGCCACAGCCACAGGCACGTGTGCTACATGCAGGATCCCCATTCCTATTGAGTGCTCTGTGTTTTCAGCAGTCTCAAAAGGCAGCTGGAGGGAACAAGGCTGCACGCAGCTCTTTAATCTGAAGTAATCCCTGCCAAGGTGACCTCCTCTTGTGCTGACACCAGGGGGATGAGAAACTTACAACCTGTGCAATGCTCAGCATGACCACTGCCCATCAAGGATAAGGATTGCCCAGGAGAAAGTCAATTACTCCTACGAGTGGTAGCAGTTCCATTGCTGAGGATGGGTGCTGAGGTTGGGGTTGCTTATGTTTATACAGCTGTGCCTCTTGGAGATGCTAGTGGGCCTGTGGGTGACAGCCAGGGCTCTGGAGCTGCACAGCTCAGGAATGCAGCCTCCACACACTTTCTAGGACTTAAATCTTTTGCAAAAAACAAGGCACTTCATGCTGAAAAAAAGCCCTCTGAAGGGAAAGTCTGCAGTGTTTTGCCTGCACACACGCTGTATTGCAAATACGTGAAAACATGGGTTTAACCAACACTGTCATTGATTTGGGTTTCTCAACTCACTTTCTGAGATGCCAAGTACTCCATGCCACGGGCCACCTGGTAGGCACAGGAAACCAGGTCCTTAAATGTTAGCTGCTCTTCTGGCAGCTTGCAGGTATCGAAAGAATAGTCCATGCCGGGTGGGCGACGTGCCCTGAGGTATTCCCGCAAGTTCCCTTTCGACGCGTACTCCACCAACACGTAGAGGGGTCCTGCAAGCAACAGCACGGTCAGCAGCTGGCACAGCAAAAGCAAGCACCACGTATGGGCCGGGTGAGCTAGGACCTCACATCTCCATGCCCTCAAAAGTCATGTGGTCAACTATTTGGCCATCCATGAGGCACATGGATGGCTCATTCATGATAAATTTGGAGCAAGCAGGAAAAGCCCCTCAGCACAGATGAGATTAAGTGGCTCCAGCCACCAGCCCCTATTCCCAGGGGGACCTGCTGCGGGAGAACAAAGATGTGCACGTGGTGGTGACTGGTGGGATGGAGCCTGGTGGCACCGCAAGGCTTCCACTGCCCCGCAAGTGCCTGCCGGGCATCGAGACGTACCGTCCTGCGTGCAGGCACCGAGGAGGTTAATGATGTTTTTGTGTTTCCCAATCATTTTCATCATTTCCATCTCAGAGACCAGATCGGACAGGTCCTTGTCAGTAGCATCATCTGAAAAAAGCAAGAGAGGAGGAGGAAGAAAATGTCAGAGAGAAAATGTGTGTTTTGTGAAGGAATTTATACAATTGTGGTGTAGCTAAATGGGATTTCGATTGGAAGTGAGTGCTTTAAAAACTTCATTTTTCCTTTTCTTCCACTTTGGGGAGAAGAGTCAAAATAAAAGAAAAGAAACTACCACAAAATAAGAAAATCTTGGTCAAAAAGGAAATCTTTGACCAAAAAGAAAATCTGAATAAATGCAGAGAAAAGTTAATATGCAACTAAGTGAAACCTTTCATCTTCTGTTTCATTTTGATACCTATTAAAACGCAGTTTGGGGATCTGGGACTCATTTGTAGAGCTCATTAGAAGTGAAGGTGATTCCCCTTCTCCTCAGTGCCCCTTAGCAGAAACTTGGGTATTTTCCCATTTTCTTTCCCTGCCAGGATTTACATCTTTACATCCTCTCTAAGGGGAGAGACCTCACCCTCAGGCCTGGGTGGAGTGGGAGAAAGGTTGTTCTTGGTTTCTCCTACTGGATCTGTTTGTATAAAACATGTAAAACTGCTTTGAGAAAAAGTGGGAAAAGGAGAGGAAACTCCACTGCAATATGTCATCCTGCCTTCCAAGGAATCCTCATACCTTTTAACATCTTGACAGCCACCGTGATGGCCTTGTTTGGCTTGTCCTTATCAATCCCAATCGCTTCTGCCATCACCACCTGGCCAAAACACCCTTCTCCAAGTGGCTTCCCCAAGGTCAGGCTGAAGGGAGGAACAAACATGGGTTAGTGGGTACCAGCAAGGTGAGGCTCCTGGGGAGAAGGGGGACCCAGCCCATGGGTTTGACCTACCGAGATCGTGCCAGCTCCCACTTGGGATCAGGAGGCAACTCCAGCTCCGAGACGTTAGCCAGCATTGGCCCTTCGCTGGAGGAGAGGCGCGTGATCCTGACCAGGGGCGTATTGGAGTTCATGGAAGAGTTGGACTCCAGTGACACCTGCTTGGGTAGAGCAAATGAAGTGTTATTGCCAACTGCACTCTGCATGTAAGTGGAGAAGGCTCATGCCTGAGACATCCCTCTGGGATTTTGAACTAGCTCTATGCACTGATGCCATTCCATAATTCTAAGTTAGAAATGCCACCCTCTTCCCTCACTTCCCCCCAT